CTGCGAATCTCATCTATTTCTTTATCGGAATTATCATTATCCACGTTTTTTTAATTTGATTCATTGGATTTTGACGTTATTGCCCTTCTATTTTTACACATTCTTTTCCAATTTATATATTTTCTCTACCAAATCTGTTATTTCTCTATTACCAATCTAATTAGAATTCATATTCTATACAAAATTTTAAAATATGAATTTAAGTTATAAAATAAAACAACAATTTTACACACACAAAAATTGGAAACATTAATTTTTTTTGGTCAAATAAAACTTACATGTGAAGAAATAATTTGACGGATTTGACGGACGAAGAAATAATTTATCTGAAAAGTAAATAAAGTATGTGAAGTTCTTGATGCAAAATATATGCATAATTAATATTCTAGAATACAGTCGTCATATACCACTCTTATACATAAATGTTCTAGAATACAGTCGTTATATATTTACTTCTCTTATACATAATTTCTCTACCTTAACAAGCGCACACTTTTGACCAATGTATTACACTTGTCTTTTTCTATTTGCTTTTGCTCCATCAGTTTCCCTCTCTACTTTTCTCCATTAGTGGCATGCATTAGATCTTCCAGATAATTATTTGATATCACGTAAATTTGGTAGATAATGATATCAACTTAAGTGAAGACAGTGAAAGCCACAACTAGAGTATAACTAAATAATTAAACTCTGATAACATATCACAAATTGATATAACTATACATTTACAGGCTTACCGCAGTTAAGGCTTTACGCATTTGACAATTCTATAATAGGTCTATGTTTAATGATCTATGATAATACAAATGAGCAAAAAATATCTTACAAACACATTTGCTTCCGGTCGTTATTGAGATCTCAATCGTATAAACTGCACCTTTCTGCAAACTCTAACATCCGCATTTACGTCGATGACTCATTGGTTTATATGTTTGTCTTGATTAACTGTATTACATCCAAATTTAAGGGACATTGGATTTCTGGTTTGGAAATCTTAAAACCATAATTATTTTTTTTGGTAACAGGTATCTTTAAACAATAATTTAAAAACATATTTTTGAATAAAAATTAACAACAATCTAATTGAATTGTAAACAAAACAAAAAAAAAATTATTTTAAGATTAATATCTTGTTTAAAAAGAAAATGAATTCTCTTTCAATTTGAAACAAACTTTGGTTGTTCTTTTTGTTAACATATCCACTGACCATTTTCTCAACTTTTGCAGAGAGGTGGAATCGAACTCCATTAGAAAAAACTGTATAAGTGAATTTTTAACCACTTGACTAAAAACGCTTTTTTTTCAAACCAAATTTGGGTTAGTTCAATTTTAATTTTAGTTTGAATATTTTTTTACACACAAAATAGTTTATTAAAAAAATCTGATACAATTAGAATTTATTCAAAGATATATAAAATAAAAAAGTAGAGAGTAAAACCGTATTGGTTTTCTTATGGGCAAGTGATAGAAATAGAAATGGATGTCGATGAAAAACTGAAGGAAGGAACAGAGAAAGTGGACCAGAGTGTGTTCAAAGCGTGTATCAACAGTGGGCCCTTCTGGAGTAAGAAATTGCCTCGTGTCATGATTCCTGTCTGATTGTCTTCATATTTTCCCAATTTTGTCCCTCGAGCCGGCCCCCTTATGTTATCCATTCGCCCACAAGGACTCGAAAGCGACGACTCCATTTGACTACACAGATTAACGGACCTATATAGGTCTGGTTTGACTGACCAAACCGGATTCTGAAACTCTTAACCAACCCAAATTGTTTCATTTATAATCATG